TTTCAAAAGAGGAACTGAGTTAACAGTGCCCATTTCTAAAGTTAGGGAATATGTTCTTTCAAATGGGGCAAATTTCAAAATGTTTGACCATACTAAATATCCAATAGACCACACATTGCCATATATCCATGTGCTTAACATGCCCAGCAGAGAAGTTAGGAGCACTGTCTCAGGAGTTGGAGTGCCTGGGTTCAATTTCTTATCGCAACTCTTATTTTCTTGTGACCTTGGGCAAATTATTTATGTTTTCTATGAAACAGTTGCCTTCTCCTTACAATGAAAATAAATAATAGTATTTACTTTGTTGGGTTGTTCAGGAAATTAAATGAGTGAAAATTCACATGTGGTAGATGTTAGTATGTTTCTTGTTGAATGAAGTTAAAAGTGGGATGCTGTGTATATCTTTGGGGATAGATCACAAATGACAGGTGCGGAAAAATCAAAGATGAAATGAAAGATCCCAGAAATTAGAAATTTGCCAAATGGAAAGAAACCAAATTTTAAGTGCAATATGTAGTCAAAACCAATAAAATTCGTATAGCTAGTAGTTATACTGCTCTAAATGATAATATGATCTTATTTACTTTTCAACAAAAATCCTCAGGTATTGGTCCCATTTTACAGAGAAGAAAATTGAGGCAAACAGTTAAGCAGTTTGAACATAATGATGCATTCAAGCCAACTTCGGACCCACGCAGTGTGGTTCAGAGGCCATGCTCAGAGCCGGCCTCACACTCCCAACTGTCAGAAACCACAGATAGTGTGAACTGGAATTGTTTACTAGATTCTAGACTTTCTGAGCTTTGTATTACTTATTGACAAGTGAAGAGTAACATTCAATTTAAAGTTTAATGAATTTGTGAAACTTTTTCCCTTATGGTGAATTAAATGGTTGAAAATATAAAATGGTTCCAAGTGGTGTGATCTGGAAAGAATTAAAGAAGATACATTGAAAGCTCATAGAAATTAGAAGCCTGCCAAATGGCAATAAATTATTTTTTTCATTTGTGGTCTCTTTTGGGATTTTCCTTTGGATCAGAGTTAATAGTCTAAAGATTCCTGTTGATGTGGTTAACTAGTATCATCTAAATAATATCTGAAAAGATGAGGAAATATTTGTTTTGATTTGGAATGAAGGTCATAGTGGGAACTCCTACAAAAAGAACCTTTTACTTCCCATCAGATCATAGCACGGTACTTTCTCAGATGATATATAATTGTTTAAAAATGTCCACACTGGATTAACTGAAAGTGGAAATAATAATAAGCTAAAATAAGTTATGTAGTTTAACATTAACTGTAGAAGTGTCTATAAGTAAAATCAGTATTAGAAAATCTCTACAGATAAGTAGAAACAATGAAGTCATAGTATTACCTTAAACATATTAATATCTGTTTTCTTTTATTATAAAAGATAAGCAAGTTTGAGGAATTCAAATATAAGCATATGTATAGTAGAAACTGAAAGTTAATCTCCCCTTGCATATGTATACCCATGTGTGTGCACATATATATATTTAACTTTATTGACATATCAGATCTTTATTTCCTTTTCATGTTAGTCTATGAAGATTTACCTTTTTTTTTTTTTTTTGAGTTATACTATAGAAAGTTACCATAGTTTGGTTAAGCCATTACCGATTGACATTTTGTGTTTTTTCTTTTTTCCAAAATTTTCTCTCTTAAAAACAGTACTGTAGATCACATGTATGTCCATATATTTCTGTGTAATTGTTTCAACATATTTGTAGAAAATTTCCTGGAAGTGGGATTGCTGGACAAAAGCTGTGCAGCAAAATGTTGAATGATATTTTCCAATAGCTTTCCAGAAAGATTGTACCAATTTACAGTCTGAGTGGGATTTTTCCTTTCATCTCTGTTGTAAAAATCTTTTAAAACAATTCTAAACTTAGAGGTGAAAAAAAAAAATCCATGCAATTTAAATGTAAATATACTTGCTTATTAGTGAGAGTATATATTTTTTTGTATTTTTAATGTCCATTTGTATTTCTCTTGGAATTTGATTTTTTATGTCCTTTTCCCACTTAAAAAAATCAGGCTGTTTCTCTTTATTTACTGACTTGTATGTGCATTTCTACATATTTAGTTCCAACTGGCATCACTGTAATCTCACTTTGGGCATTTCCAATCAACAGTGATCACCCAGATCAGGCACCGGAATCTATAGTTTTTAGTTTGTTTGTAATGTAAATCTACTGAAACACTTAGATGCCTGAATAGTGGGTTCTTCTTGTGATTGTTCTCTCCCTGTTTTTAGAGTTCTGGTCCAGGGTTTGTCAATCGTCTTTTCTAAAGAACCACCTAGTAAATATTTTGGTTTTATGGCCATGCAGTGTTCACCACAACCCAGCTACTCAACCCTGTTGTTGGAGCTGGTAACCAACCATGGATAAAACTTGAGTGCAGTGGCCGTGTTCTAATACACCTTACTATGGCCCCTGACACTGGAATTTCATCTAACTTTAATACAGCATGAAATTTTAATTGTAGTATTTTCTCTGTTGATATTTGAAAATGTAAAAACCATTCTTAGGTCACAGGGGATCCAAAGAGCGGGGGGGTAGACTAGGTTTGGCTTGCAGTCTATACTATGCCACACCTGGTTTAGACTGTTTCCGTAAAAACCGCTGTGATATCAAACTGCCTTTTGATCCAGCATCCTTCAGACTTGTTAGCTCCTAAGGCTATTAGCAAGACTACATTTTATTTGTCTCATCTGAATTTTTCAACTTCTGGATCTGAGTCTACAAAATTTGGCTTCCTTTTTTTTTTTTTTTAAAGTTATTATGAAATCTGGTATTTGTTATGTATATTAAAATTCTTAAACCTGGAAATAGTGACCTATTCTGTGTGTCCTGAGTACTCTGTAAATACTGATCCCTCGGTCTGTCTTGAGTAGATTCAGTTTGATTTTTGGTATCAGAGTGTATGCTGTGTCATGTCGTTGAATAAGGAATTCCCAACAAAGTGTGATTTAGAGTTTAATGTAAATTTTTTCATTTTATGTATAAAAACATAGGTAATTCTGAACACTTTATAGTTCTTTTATAAGAATACTGTAATACCATTGGCATTTTTGTTTTTCTGTTTTTTTCTTTCTGTTAGGGAAATTGTCCTCTCAGAGTTAATTTCATACAAAGGGAAAGATTATTTGAGAAAGTCTTTGCCCACTCTGCAGTCTCTCAGCAGTTCATATGGTCATGGCACCGTGGTGTCAGTTTCAACCCACTCTGTACCCCCTGACTCGGATGAGTTGAGGGGTGGATCCGCCCTTCATTTTTCTCGTATGCAAAGTAAGAAGATAGATGAGTTGGCCTCTGGTTTTCTTCCGTTTTAACTATCCTGCTGTTCTTACAGAATGTGCACACTTACACATGTGATGTTAAAGTGAATTGTGTTAGTCTACGTGGCTAGAATGTAGACTCACACTATGTAGAACATGCCTCATTTTTGAAGCATTTCTCTTTGTGCTTCACCACTAACACGCAGTTCTTGCCTGTAGAAGTGCCGGGGAAGTAAATGCAACCACTTGAGAATAGATCTCATTTAGAAAGTTGAGTGAGTTCAACTTTGCACTGATATTTAGCTCAGCAGAATTTGTGGAGGATTTAGATAAAAATTGATTAATACTAAAGTTCAGTGAACTTCCATATACTGCAACTCACCCTCTGTTTTCCCCCCATTCTCATCATATTTTGATACTGGTATCCATGCCTTATATTTGAGAATCATCTCTGGGGATCATAAATAATTGAAATAAATAATATCAGCTTCCAAGTCTGTTATATATTTTGTTTGTAGTAAAAATAGTGACTACAGCTTGTGTAGAATCATATTTCATTATCATTTACTTATGAACTAATTGATGTGTTATGGCACCTTCACTAGAGACTTTGCCCAGTGATGTGTCATAAAAGTTTTTGCAGTTATCCTTTATTACAAAGGTTTGATGTTTGATGTAGGAGTATATAAGAGGTGAGCTGTGGTATCTAATGTCTTTGAAAAAGAAATTCCAACAAAGTGTGATTTAGAGTTTAATATACTTTTTTTTTTTTTTTTTTGGTATTTCACACAAGTGACAAACCAGTAATTAGAAACATTTTATCCACTTTTCCGCTAATAGTTATGCTTTGCAACCACATATTCACATTTGTTTTTCTCACTGAAGCAATATTCATTAACCCAAATAGCAGGTAGTTTCTGAAAGCTAGTTAATAAAGGTAAGTGGCAATGATGGTATTTTACCATTAATAAAACTGGTTTCTCTAGGATTAAGGAAATACTCAAAGAGATTTTTGGTATTACAAGGTCATAGAAATAACTTTTAATGATTTTGCTATTTCTGCTCTTTTTATTGGACAAGTATTTTAAAACCAATCTTTTTAATGAAAATTTAAAAAGTTCAGTCCAGTTACCATTTCAATTAGTTTAAATTTCTTAGGCTTTTGCTAATAGTTAGAAGTTAGTAGTTTTAATAGTCTTTGTTAAGTGTCCCACTTAAAATATTATAATGAGTATCACAATAGATCAGCATTTGGTTAGGGACTAGAGTGTATGCACATCTCAGTATAATTTTCAGTCAGAAGGTTTTTATCAGCTTCATCATTTTTCCTTAGTTGATTATAACTTGATAATTACACTGTGTTCAATAACGTATTAAAAAAATTACAACAGATATCCTACGGTCACCCACAGTGCTAACACTTTACACATCATGACTTCTATGTAGTTTGGCTTATAACCACGATGATTAGATACAGTTCATTTTGCTAAACATCTACATGTTAGGTTTCTTTTTCTACATTTTAAGACAGCTTTTAATACTGGATAAGTTAGTGAAAATGACTTCCGTTGTTTTCTACTACTTGTTTAGAGAGTCATTGTTACTAACTCAGCTTACTATTAGTCGGTATTTTTACACAGTGTTTTCCTTTTGGATGTTCCAAACGCTAATAGGTTGGAATATTACCTCAGGTGTTTTACATTGGAGTCTCTTCACTTGGGTCACCACCGTCCTGTTCTTTTTTCCTGTTTTGTTGGGATGGAGACGTTGCAGAATTGCGGCACTTCAGCATACTCATTAAGGAATTTTTGAAGGACTTGCAGAGGAAAAAGTAGATGAATGGATCCAGGCATGCATTTAAGGAAGTCAACCAAAGTGTGCTTTCTTTAACATAAAACAGAGTATTCTCAGCGGAGCAGTCAAAGACATCCCGGGTTTGGCTCAGGGTGTAGGGAATGCGGGCAAAATGGAAAGGAACAAAACAAATAAAAAATACAGCAATGATAATGAAAACTTTGATGTTTACCTTTTTCTTGGGGACTTTGCCTACGCCCCTTGTTCTCACATATGACCTGTACAGTTCTTTTGTAATGAGTGTATAACATACAATGACAATTAAAAAATTAATCCAGAAAATGACTTGACAGATGTAATTGACTATTTCATGCCAGACCAGACCAAACTCTGATTTGAGGAAAGAGCATTTCTTCACATTCTTGTCTTTTGGCCTCCTGTTGGTCAGAATCATGTTGGGCAAAGAGAGTAAGAACATGAATGCCCAAATTACGACAGAGAGAATTTTAGCCCCCAAGAGATTGCTGGGGTTGGACATCTTAAATGGCCTGGTGGTCTTCTGGTAGCGATCAATAGTTATCAGTCCAAGGAATGAAATACTGATGTACATTGTGAAATAAAATATGACAGAGGTCACTTGGCACACAAAGGTTCTCAGTGGTCCTGTTCCCAGTTTGGCATCACTGAGAATTTTGAATGGAAAAGTCAGAATCATGAGAAGATCAGAAATGACTGTGTTCTTAAGAAAAATGATAAAATTAGATTTATTGCGGATTTGAAAGAAAATCCTCATAGCCAGACTGTTTGTGATGAGTCCAACAAAAAACAGGACAGTGTAAAGGAGCGGAAAGAGGACCTGGGTGATCTTGTAATCTCTGGTGCATAAGCTGCCATTCACAGCCACAGAGGTGAGGTTGTCCATGGCTTGTGTTTCTTCTTCACTACCTAGGAGAGGAGAGTAGGGATGGTTATTTTCAATCTCAGACCGTCGATTTTGGTTTTATCTCTGTGTAACTTTTTTAAAAAAAGTATTTATTTGGGAGAGAGCGAGCGAGAGAGTACACACAAGCATAACAACAGGGGTGGGGGGGCAGAGGGAGAAGGAGAAGCAGGCTTACCGCCGAGCAGGAAGCCCAAACTGGGGGTCCACGTGGGCTCCATCCCAGGATCCTGGGATTATGACTTGAGCCGAAGGCAGATGTTTAACTGACTGAGCCACCCAGGCACCCTCTGGACAGCTTTTTCTAAAAACTGAGCTTTCCGATCCTTATTGTGACAGTAAGAATACAGAAAATTGAATCTCAGAATACTTAATTGTGGCAAATACCAAATAAAATGGTCTGAAGTACGTTATATGAAGGTAGAGATACTTTGTATTTCTCAATTGTGAAATGTTTGCCTCTTAAAGGACGTTTTTGTTAGGCACATGCGGACAGTGTGTAGAAATGGGAAGGGAAACATGGGCTGTGCTTTATTCCTTTACAGCTTCATTTCCATGCCTTTTAGCTTTTTTATTTCTATTCACAGTCACTTTTTCTGCATTCTTATTATTCCTGGGCTTCATTTACTCTGATAACCGTCAAAGGGTTCCAAGGAGAGGTGACGGATAATTGGCTCTTAGAATTTAAAAGTAGAAAGGGGCAAGAAATTTGTATAAAATCACTTGAAGGGAATTTATTGTTAAATATTAAATCAGATATAAAACTTTATAATTGGAAGATATTTCTTCCTGTATATTGCTCAGTCACCCATTCAGAAATCAGCCTCAGACTAGTTTTTTAGCTCCAAATATTTTAACCCACATATGTCTTATTTCTGACTTTGCACAGTATATTTGAAATTTTTACATACATTCTCTTGAATATCCTTCATTAAAAAAAAAAAAAAAACACACACACAAAAAGAAATAGTCATCAAATGCTGTTCTTCAAAACAGCCAGGGCATACTTTCCAGTCTGTAGAGTATATAATGATAGCTAAAATAAAGTATTAAAGCCACGTCCTTGTCTGGTTCCCTAGGTTATTATTCCACAACAGGGGGCTATAAAAGAAAACTAACACTTGACTTGAATACATTATCGGGCATCTAATTAACGTTTTTATTTCATCAAAGGCAAATAGAATTGATCTATATCAATGTTATTCCGAAGTATAAGACATGGTGTTGTTCAAAGCATACATATCCAAATTAAAACAAACAAAAAGATTCCATGTAAAAAACTTAAGTATAACAAATAGAGAAAATACTAAATTCCCACAGATGTAGTATTTCATTGTCTAATTATTGAATAAAAGATTCATGTCATGAAAAAAAGATTCGTGTCACAATTAGGGCTTAATTTTCAATACCTCCTTCCCAGTTTAACATGAAGAAAATACTAAACAACAATACTATTAATTCAGTATTAAATTGAGGTAAGATGGTAGATTTTAAGCTTCCTTGCTACTGCTATATACTCTAATTTGTGCATTCTCTGATTGTTTCGAAAATTATCTGTTGGGAATGCTCATTTTGCATAGAATGTCACCTTATTTAATGAGTAGTCTTGATAACAGGATATCACCTCCATCTATCTATATTTAAGTCTCACTTTCTACTCGAGGTAAAACAAGACCATTTGTGTTTTATTTCCATGCTGTGTGTATGTGTGTGTGTGTGTGTGTGTGTGTGTGTGTGTGTGTGTATTTAATGAAGAAGTTAGTGGTTGTCTCTAACAGCATTAATACAGCTTGTATTTGAAATTTTATTCCAAATAAGTACCTGAATTGATATCAATTATTGTTGAAGGTTTCCAATTTTAAGAAAACTTGACAAACATGTACACACCCATCATCTTGTAAACACATACATTTGTCCAATACTTTATATATATAGTTACCTGGTTACTCTGTTGATTCAGGAGGATTTAAATGTATCCATTAAGTGGCATTTAGTACATCCTGCAGAATGGCATCTGGTATTTTCCTTTCAGTGTCTTAGTTTAGTTGTTATTACTCTTTATGATCAAGTATCTGCTGAGCTTTCATCAGTAAATCTTGAGTGTTCTAGAGAGAAATGAAGAGAGGAAGAGAGGACTTCACAGTCAGAAATTACCTTCCAACACTCTGGACTCAAAGCTGTACAGACACAGTGTTTCCGTCTGGCCCCTTTTAGGACTTCTGCTTTTATTTCCCTGGGAAATGTGGGGCAGGGTGGGTTAAGAATTCATCTTTTAAGAAGCAGTTTTAAAATCTTGCTGCTTTTTGCTGAAACCTGCCATAGAGTTTGATGCTTTATGAGTTCTTTTGATTATTTTCCATGCACATGATAAATCCATGTTGAGATCAAGCTTTTTGAAGTCGGCTTCCTGGAGAAGGTTGCAGGCTTGCTTTCTCAGATAATCATTTACCTGAAAACATACTGTGCTCAAGCTGGGTGATATATCGCCTTTTAACAAGTAATTACATTAACTCAAAATGTGTGCTTGTTATAGATGTTAAGTCTCTTGTTCCTTGTTTTTTTCCTGGTTAATAATGTCATTATTTTAAATCTGTGTTTGATCAAGTCTTTGTACGTGAAACAGTTTCCTCTCATTATAAATTTTAAGATTCCAAAATTACATTAAAAAAGAAAGACAGTTGTATCCTTTGCCAGACTTATTATATAAAGTGTCTTTTATGCTTTTCTTAAATAGAATTTAAATATAAACAATTTTTTTTGTAACCTTGCTTTTTGTTTGGGGGGAATATATCATTAAGAGATCCCTGTTTCACTAATACCTTTATATAAATACTGTTTTTGCTCACACTCAGACACATACAGTATTTCAAACTATAATGTCCTTTTCCCCAGTAGATCCCCTTGAGTAGGTGCCTTTGCTATGAACACATGTTTACTTGTTTCTTCTGAGTTTTGAGTGTGTCCATCGCTGCATGTTAAATCATCTTTGATCCCCATTTTCAAAGTGCAGGATAGCAGCTCAGTATCACCTAGGAAGTTGTGACAAATATACATTCTTGGGCATGAACCTAACTCTAGTGAATCAGAAACTCTGGGTAGGTTGCAGCCTACCCGAGTAGGTTGCTCAACTGAGTGAGCCACCCGGGTGCCCTGGAAAAGTGGGTACTCTTCAGTTATTTTTGTTTTGAAATTTATTGAAGTTAACACATTTTAACACTTATTTAAAGACATATTAGACTCCACAAGTAAGGAGTCTTGGGTTTGGGGTATTTAGCAAAAGAGAATGCTATATTGATCCAATTATTTGTCATCCCTGGCTTGATTGTTTTGCTTTTGAAAGTGGAGAACTTGTGTGTGTGTTTTATATATAGTCAACCCCTCTGACACTCATTGCATTGTGCTCCTAGGATGCATTGAGCCTGTTGGATAAAGCTGTCATTTCAGCCATACCATGGGCTATAAGCTATTGTAGAACAAACATTTCCTACATAAATCTAATGAAAGGAATCTCCTATTTTCTGGATTTAAAGAAGTTACTACATTTCAGGTAGAGTAATGAATGAGAAGACGCTCATTTCTTGTTCCCTCGACCTGACCTCCCCATGCATGTCACTCCCTTTTGACACACCTGCCTGAGGCTTATCACTCATGTAACATCTATTTGAAGTTAATTTATTCTAAAGAGAATAAAGTGGCATTTTGAAAAACTCAGCTAAAAGAAATAATTTGAAGGCCTCTTTTAACAGTTTTTTTTATTTTAATAGATTAACGTACAATTTTATTGTAAATAGCTCCATGGTTTTTAAAAAGTATTTTTTTTAAAGATCTGTTTATTTATTTAAGAGAGAGAACCTGCACATCCTGAAGGTGGGGAGGGGTAGAGGGAGAGGGGGGAATGAGTTTTAAGCAGACTCTGTGTTGAGTGTGGAGCCAGACATGGGGCTCCATCTCATGACCTTGAGACTACGACCTGAACTGAAAACCAAGAATTCGATGCTTAACGGACTGCACCTCCCACGGACGTCTTAAAATGTGTTTTTTTTTTTTATTACTTTTCCGGGAGTTGGGGTAGGGTGCTCTGTGCAATTTATTTCGTGATGTGTGCTAGGTTTGCATCGAATATTGAAACATAGGCAATTACAGAGTGTTGGGGAAGTATGAAATGCTGTATTTTGTTTTATTAGAAGGACTGTTGCATTTACTTCACCTATTTAGTGTTTGGAAGAAAAGGAGGCACATCTAGAGTGGGATTATTTTTTATCTCTTTTTAAAAAGAACATTAATTTATTAATTTTAATAATACAATTATTCTACAATTATTGGGGCACTATAGAAATACCAGGAAGTACTAAAGAAGTAAAAGGAGAATATGCATCTCTGATCATCTCACCTCTGTTATCACATCTTGGGAACACACACATGTTTTGGCAACATTTCTAATCACTTATGATTTGATGATGACTTAGAGGAGATTTCATTTCATTCATTTAACTCCAGTTCTTCCTTCTTAAGGGTATTTGGTTTAAGAGATTTATTTTAACTTCTGTAGTCCTACAAGCCTTCCACAGCTTTTGGACACATATCTTCCTAGTTTCTTGAGCACTTAAGTCTTTGTAAATATTAGATATTATCTGGAGAAAAAGAGAAATTGATCCTGAGCTTGAGATTTTCAGGAATTAGTTTATAGGTGAGATGACCTGTCCAACCTAAGCACAACAGTTGGCTGGCATGAGAGGGGTTGCTAGACTTCTCAACTCTCCAGTTGACCTTTTTTTTTTTCCCCTAACCAACAAGTATGTCCTTCAGGGTAGAAATAGAGTAATTCTTTGGTACCGATCTCTAGTCTTTGATATTCCTTACAACTATGCAACTTGAGGGTTTTTAATACCTAGTTGAAAGAGCAGAACTCATTGATACCTTTCGAAATATGTGGTCCATTTTCCAAGTTTGACCTTGTTCTCGTATAGTATGAATTGCTATTTGAAGACATATTTTTGACAAGTACAAAAAGTTGATATGAATTAATCTTGTAGGCTAATGAAAAACCGTTGCTTTTAAACTATCTCTGCATTTCCTCTTTGAAGTCCTGTAACAGCTATCACGATTTACCTAAAAGATATTAATTATCAGATACAAATCTGGTCTTGAGGCCCCATACAAAGGCTGATGGGTGGTTCTTTTACAGCTAAAGGCCATGTTGCTCTTGCTTTTTAATTTCATCCCTTCACTCTCAACTCGTCACTTTCCTTCTGGCCCAACTCCCTGAGCAAATCAGATACAAGATTCTTCCAGTTCCTAATTTTTTAATCTCCAAATTTCCCTGTAGTATTTTCACCAGCCTCCCCCAACCCGGTTAAGTAGAAAGTTGTCCCTCTCTTTCCTTCCAAGTCCCCACCCTCATCTGGATGTCCTTCACAGAGACTCATTTATTTGAAACATATCTTTGGCACAGGAGTTTGCCTTTGGTTGTCCTAATATAGTTCTCCTCCCTTAATTTTTAAGCTTCATGCCCAACTACCAGTAAGTCCCTCACTTTTACCATTTCACCATCTACTCTTACTACAACCTTGTTTCCGGTTTTCTGCTCCACTACTCTAGAGAAACTTCTCCTTTGAGGTTCGTAAGTAGTTTTTTTAAAAATATGTAAGTCAGAGAGGCATTTGATGTTGTCGATGGCCCCTATTGTTAATGTCTCCTTTCTGACTTCAGTGTCCTTCACTCGTCATTCATCCTATTAATTATAGAGACTGTGTGTGTATCATTCGGTGGCTTGTTTATCTCCTTTATATCTCTGCTCTGTTGGTTCGTTCCTCCCTCCTAAGGAGAACATATTGCTCTTCTCCCTAACAGCGTATATTCAGTACCTAATTAGTGGCATCTAAGAAGAGTATAACTGTGAATATGACAGACCTGTGGGTTCTTCCTCACAAAACTGTCTAGCAGAGACAACAGACGTTAAACAAATAGCTCAAAAATGAGTAGATTGCACTCTGGCAAGTGCTCCAAAGGCTCTCCTCCCCTCCCTACTGCTCCTGTGCTGTGGGCTTTCACCAACTGAGGTGACAGTGAGGGACCTGATGGTGTAATTGTGTACAGCACTTACATGCGTGAGGGGCAGCCTGTTGAAAGTATTTTAGGTGGCAGGAGGAGCAACAGCAAAGGAAGGAAGTATCCTAGCATCTTGAGGAAATGTTGAGTAACGCAGTACAGTGTGAATCCGTGGTACATGAAAGTGAGACGTGGAACTGTAGAAATCTGAATGGACAGCAGGGGGTTCTGTGTCTGATATGCTGCAAAACATTTTACATGCTTCATGTATTCTCATTCTCATCTATTTTTCTCAGTTATTCTTCAAAAAAAAAAAAAAAATCTCAAAAGGAAGCTGGTATTAGCCCATTTTCTCAGGGGAAGAATCTGAGGTCCAGAAAGGCTCATTAGGACAGAAAGACTCAAAGGACCATGTGAGTCAGCAGATGGCACAACGTGAATTCAGTCACAGTGCTCTCTTATCCTGAGCTTGGACTGTTACTGGTATGGGGGAGCCATAGTATCTATGCGTTTGTGACGAGCTCTGCAAATACTTTTATGATCCTGAATCTGTGTTACTTGAGGACAGGGAACATTCATCCTTGTATTGTCTCAGGATTCCTAGCATCTTGCCTTCCCACAAGTAGATACTCTAAAAGCAGATGTTCAGTAACTTTGCTGACCCCTTTCCATCACTTGTCACACAGAAGTTTACGTTAAAACTATTGATAGGTACCTTAGCTGAAAATAATTGCCAGGGCACATGACTGGCACTGCCTGAGGTTTGTTTTCATTTTAGATCTTATTTATTTATCTAGGGGCGTGGAGAGAGGGAAAATTCTAGTGGGAGGAAGGGCAGAGGCATAGGGCGAGAGGAAGCAGGCACCCCACTGAGCAGGGAGACAGATTTGGGGCCGGATCCATGGACCCTGAGATCATGACTTGAGCTGAAGGGAGACGCTTAACAAACTGAGCCACCCAGGCTCCCCCTGCCTGAGTTTTGTACAGTTTTCTCCGTGTCCTCCTGTTCCCTTCCAGGGTTCATATGTACACATCCCACCAGACAAAAAAGAAATAT